CTTACGCAATATCACGTGATTCTCATCTGCCCTCAGTGCTACATCTAGGTTTTCTCTCATTGAACTGGATTTCTCAAGAGGAATCTCCAGTCAGACACTGGCTCTGTGTCTCTAAGAAATCCAACACTGCCTTCAGCAAGTCATCACAACTTGGCTCCTCTATTAACACTAATAGTATAACAAGCTCAGCAGATGCACAACTCCACCAGGTGTTTGCTAATTGCTGCTGGCTAGTTTGAAGAAGCTGAGTCCGCCCAGGGTTTTTCCATGTTGTCATGGGAGATGAATGGATTTCTCAAACATGGATGACAAAATTAAGGCAACATAAAAACTCCAGGTATTTTTTTCGTTGAGGAAATAACATAACAACGTGATGTAAAGCTAAGAGAAGTTGATTTTCATTCTACTGCTCCTTTAAGTCGTTTTGCTGCTGGCAACGATGTCATGGTCCTACTTAGTTTGGGTTTTTGTTTACAGCGAGGACGATTCCCGGTAAGCATCACTGAACTGACGCATTCCACAAGTTACGACTAAATGACAGCCGTGATGTACCCTGTTGATTGTTAGTTAGGTAAAGACAGATCTCTGACCTCTGAATGAGCTGGGTTACAATTTGTTAGAATTTACTAGTGAAACCCTTACAGTAAATCCTAAGAAAAGCTTTCATCAGAAATCAGCTCATGATTTGTGTGTGTGGAAGCGAGAGCCGCACCACACATACAGACTGGTTTAAATGAAAAGGCAGCGTATGAATAAAAGCAAATCCTTCTGGTTCTGAAAATTGTAGGTTGGGCTTTTCTAAATTACATGTTTCTAGAGGGCGACATAAGCTCTTGTTACTGCAGCAGAAAAACAAGCAGTCTTGTATAGTAACGAAGTAAAAGTACTTCACTACTTTACTTAAGTATATTTTGGAGTACTTCATACTTTCCTAGAGTATGAAATTTTTTGATAACTTTCACTTTTACTTCACTACATTTCCGAACTTAATTTCATACTTTCACTGTCAAAAAAAGTAAAACCACACATTTTCAATGTGTGGTTTAGTTACTCGTTACAAAAAAGTGAGAGAGAAACGCAAATGTTTTTACAAACCTACTGATTGACTGCAACAAAGCCTGCTTGCCTGGGCTTGTTCATCACCACCAATAGGATACACAGGTTTCACCTCCCCATCTACGTCAGAAAGTCCAGCAAACAGTCTGATTGGTTAGTTCTCCGTTTGTGTAGGTTTGTGCCGTTAAAATGTTCGTTTTTGCAGCTTTGGTTTCCGAGATATTAAAATGATTTTTTAGGTCATCCAGAGTTCACCATCCCCGCATTTTGCTCCAAAACAAACCAAAGTGGGCTGGTTCATTTTGCAGGTTTGTGCCATTAAAACAAACGCAGCAAAGTTGTTTTCAATTTGGATTTTGGCTTTACCAATATCCGGTGTGAGCGGCGCCTAACTCAAGGTTGATCCGATTCAATGAACGCTAATTTCGGCCAGCCGTTCTCTAGGTCTCCCCTTCCTCAAGGTGTCGGAGTTTCACTCAGGGAGAGTCAACAAATTTCACATCCAAACTCTCCTGAGAAACTAATGGAAATAGATTTCTTGCCTTGTGACCAACTGACACAAAATTCAGGACACAAAATATTGAGTATGAAGTAGTCATACTCAATATTTTCAGTAATTGTAATCTTAAAAAGTATATATTTTGGATGGCCTAAAAATCATTTTTAATATCTCGGAAACCAAAGCTGCACAAACCAACATTTTAACGGCACAAATGGAGCACAAACGGAGCACTAACCAATCAGAGTATTTGCTGGATTATTTGAGTAGGTGGGGTGTCAGCTTCACAGAGGTCTGTTTCACTTCTCCCATTAAACACCAAGTTAACTAAAAGCTCTCCCTCTTCAGATGTCAATAAGCTGCATTTTCCTCCCAATTCTTTTTTTCTTTTGCATAATGACCAGTTGGTGCACCTATAGTGTGTGAAGTAGAGTAATCGTAACGCGTTTTTTTCTTCATGTTGGCCGCATTTTCTGTACTGACTATTTATTTTTCTCATTTTCAGCACTGACCTTACTGAAAGGGAAAACTTGAGGCTTTTAGAAACTTTGTATTTTCTGTCCTGGAGGGTTTACTAAGAAGCTGGTTCAGTTGTAAAGCAGGTTAAGTTAACCTAAAGCAGGTCAAGTTAACCTAAAGCAGGTCAAGTTAACCGAAAGCAGGTCAAGTTAACCTAAAGCAGGTTAAGTTAACCTTTTGGTGTAGGTAAAGCACCTACTTTTCTTAACTAAATGATGCTGTAGGTTTATCTATTAGCAGGTTTTATTTTGCCTGCACTTGGTTGTGTACATTATTTTAAGTGTATTTAACAAGTTTATGAAAATATAAAAAATGTCATTCAAACTGCATTTGTTTTACTTTTTACTTTTCATTACATTACTTGAGTACATCCATTGTTACAGTAATTTCCATACTTAAGTACAAGACATTTCAGATACTTTGATACTTTAACTCAAGTAACATTTCAATCAGTGACTTTTACTTTTACCAAAGTCATATTTTGGAGCGGTACCTATACTTTTACTTGACTCCGAGATTTCAGTACTTTATACAACACTGAAAACAAGTTTGTTTTAGAGTATCTCCCACATTGTGAGAGAAATCACAATGTGATTCCCACACATTATCACCATGTGGAGAAAGATCTACCTAGCAGGCTTCCACTGTTTGTGCTTTTTCCAGCAGCTGTTTCCCAGAATACTTTGCCAGGTTTTCCACACCAAAGAGTTAGCCACAACAATTTCCAATTCAGTTCCACCTGACACCATTCGTCCTGGATGACATAGATTAAACAAATCTGCTGCCACAATTAAACAGACTTGAAAAAAATCTAACTCGGGCCAGTCCGACAATAAACTGGATTCAGACCTCCAACACTGCTGGTGAGATGAACTAAACGCTCATCTGTTTCATGGCCTTGCTTTTTAGCAGAGCTGCTATCTGATGTGGTTAATGAATCGAGCTGTTCACTCATGCATTCAACGAAAGGAATGTTGAAACACGACGGACGTGGTGAAAATCTCAAGAGTCAATCTAAATGTTTATGTGATGGCGGCGATACGGAGTTGAGACAACAGCCGGAGAAAGATGTGCGATTGTCTCGTCAACGACGGGCCAAAAACGATGGCAGAGGTCGGCCTCGGGTGGCAACACGTGGCACTGCGTGTGGATGTGAACGTATGAAAACCAGCAGGATTCAGAGATTAAACAGAGAGCAAAACTAAATGTCAGTAATAAAGAATATAATTCTATTTATTTACATATGTATATATAGTCACCTCCCTAACATAATAGTAATTTTTGCCAAAAATGTTGTTTTTTTTTTATTATTATTATTATTATTTATTTTGTTGTTGCTTCAAACACTTTTGGGAAATAAATAAATAAATATTGCCATCATTTTTAGGAGAGTAATAAACATATAAAACTACAACTCAAATATGATATTTATGTTTAAAATATATATGAATATGCTTTATTTATTTATTTTTAGGCATTTGTTTTTGAAAAAAGTTTTCAGATTTTTTATTTATTATTTTTCCCCCGCAGAATTTTGTTTCAGTCATTTATTCCTTGGCTGGCAATCGAGTCAACATCCGTTGACTTAAAGCAGTTTGATTTAAAGCAGAAGGATTAGGTGGCGTAAAGTAAAGAACAACAACTCAAGAGCTGATCAACAAAGTCTCATTATTAACAGGAAAAACGAATAATAAATAATAACAGGAAAAAGAGGTGACAGGATTTGTGTTATTTCACATGTTCATAAAACAAAACCAGGCCCTGAAAGTGAGTCTCCTCTTCCTCATGTGAGTCACATAAAATTCTTGTATTTAAGAAAAAATATATATTTCAATGAAGGGGGGGAGGATGCCTCATTGTGATAGTACAAATAAAAATAAAGATCGATAATTACTTGTTCTATTTATTTATTTATTTAGCTTATCCTTCTCTCTTCTTACTGTGAACAGGTTTTCTGCCCTCCCCCAGTTTAATTCCTGCCTCACATGTTTGCCTCTGCAGAAGTCAAGGACTAATAAGGGCACACAGATAATCCGCTCCGTCGCCGGTTCACAGTCAGTCGGGGGAAAAACACAGACGGGCCTATAAAAGCAGCCGAGCTATTGTGGGTTTGAGGTGGTTACTGAGCTCAAATAAGTTTTAATGGCTTTAAGCTGTAAATCCTGACTCAATGAAACTGAACTGGTGACACCAGTGGGAACATGCTGAGCTCCACCCATGAAACATTGGTTCAATCTTAAAAGAGTAACTAAACCCCAATCAACTTTTTTGTCTTTTTTTCTGTCTTTCTTTGCTGATTTTTTACGTTTACAAATCAATCCGTGAGAGTGCTGTGTTTATGTCATTGTGCACATTTTAATATAGTGTGAACTTGTTTAACCCTGAAACATTTTGCCTTTAACAGTCTTAGTGCTGCCCTCTTGGGGTTAAAGGCAGGAAGTCAAATGTTCCTATCGTTTAACTCGGTTGAGCTTTGCTGCCGTCTCCTCCAGGAGGATCCACTGTGACGTTATCTCACTCCAAAAATGCTTCTGCGACGAGTCAAGAGTTGGGATTGCAGACGGTTGTTTCAAAGATTATTTACAAAAACTAAATCAGGGTGACAAAGTGGCTACATTAGCAGTGTCTCTTGGCACATCCCTGTTTGGTGCAAGAGGTGAAGGTTTCGCTTTCCCATCATGTCCAAGAGGAGTGGATTGATATTTCTCTTCTGCTGGCAAAACTTCATTTTATTTACTGTTTGAGAGCTTGTACCTCCCCCAGCCTGCTTAGGCTATGCAGCCCTGGGCGGAGAGCCGTACTGACTTGATCAAAAACAGCTCTGTTGTAAAGGGTTGGAGTAAAGAGCCTTTCACTGTAAACAACTAAATATCTGACTGTGTGTGTGTGGCTTTGCAGCTTGATGCGAATATATCAATCCACCATCTGTCTTTTATTTATCCTGCTTTTTTATTTTAACAAGCTCAATATAAGGGATAAAAAGTGAAGCCAAAAGAATTTCTCTCTTTCTTTTTTTTCTTTTTTTGTTGTTGAAAGAAACGAAGAGCAACACACACATGCATGACATCTGCTCCATTCTGAGAACAAATCTGACTACAGCACATTAAACTGGAACAATCAAGTATGGATCTGATTCGCTAAACAGCAAAGAGGAGCAGCTCAGGGACACAGAACAGGACATGAACATCTGTGGTCAGCAACAATGTCTTGGTGTCCATTTTCCTTTTAGCAGACTCTAGATTCTAGTGGTATCTTGGTAAATGGGTCTTGGCTCCATCGTGCTTAATCTTCCTGTCTGAAACATGGAGGCTGAAACAAGGTTAGCACAGTTATCTTGTGCTATTATTGCTGAGCATAGCATTCTGTGTCCTAGTGCTAACATCTAATGGAGTCTTTTTTTTTTTTATTTCTATACATAACCCTCTTGTCTTCCATTTCTCATTGAAAGCATACAGTATAATACATAATACAACATTTTTGAAGACTGTAGACCACATGACAACATGGCACAATTTACTCAGCATCTTGCATATTCCTTGACTAGCGAGCATGCATATACATGCATCTGTTGATTTGTGAAAATGAAGGTCATGCACACGCACACACACAATAACTTAACTTAAAGTGAAATATCACAAATAAGTCAGTAGTTCCTGGAAAGTTACACTGACAGCAGCCCCGGTCTCAGGGGCCACGTTAGCGGATGGGGGCCTTCAGGGCAGCATCCACCTCCTCCTCCGGCAGCAGCGTGTGCCACTGGGCCACGGGTCGCCTGGGATTGGCCAGCATGTCTGACCAGTGGCGCAGCCCGACGCCGGAGGCGCCGTAGCCGATCCAGCACTTCCCGATGGGATCGTTGCTGCCCAGTTTGTCGTAGTCGTACACGGTGATCAGCACCTGGATTTTCTGTGCGTGGAGACAGAGGAGGCGTCAACGCTACGTCCTGCAAACGTCTCATCCACGTCTCGTCTCGATGCTGCACTGAATCTGATGTTAAGGCATCGTGACCTGAATGCGTTTTGGATACGTCGACGATGACTCGATCAAAAAGCAAACTGTGTTAAATTTTGTTTCTGCAAAGCAGTCAAGCCTACTTATTAGAAATATTTACAGAAAATAGTGTGAAAATGTTTCCAAAAATATTATTTTGTGTTGTACTATGTTCATGCAACAGTCAACAGACCCAAATATCGGTTCAACTACGAGACGTACAAACCTGAATTTGGGAGAAGGGAATCTCAAAGCTGAAGCTCTCGTTGAAGTAAGGATTTAGAGTGTTTTGCTTCACAGATGTCTTCTTTTTCTTGAGTCGCTTGCCGTTGTGTTGCAGAACCACCTTGACAAACGGATCTGAGAGGGACGAACACGAGTCAACACAGACTTCCAATAAGAGTCGATCATCAGCCTTTAGGTTTGCGAACAGCAAATACCTGACAGTCCTCCGACGTCCATTTTCTTCAGGTTCTTTGCTTCCATCACGTTGACCGTCAGCTTACCGGCCGTGGGGACGTAGCGAAGGGAAATGCAGATATCACCGAGTTTCTCTTGCTGTCAGGAACACAACGCATAAGTCAGGCATTTTGTTAAAATCCAGATATTAGAAAGGTCTGGTTTTGGAGGAAAGAAACAAACATTTACCTCTTCCTTTTCTCCACCAACTAGATCTTTCCATTCATGTATTGGTTGCCCGAGGTCAATGCTGTTCATTGGGATCTTGATTTCGCCGATGACGTCGTGTTTTCCAAAACGGTCGAAATCAAAAACTTGCAGCACCAGAGTTTGACCACCGAGCTCACTGTAAGGGATCTGGAGAGGAAGAGTATGAGCATCAAATTTAGCTTTGAATTCTGGTCGAAAAAGGACAGTATTCTAAAACGACATCGGTGTGTAGACCTTGAAAGTGAAAGTCTCGTTAAACACGGGGCAGAGGTTCTTGCGTTGAACTTTGGTCTCGAACTTCTTCTTCTTGTCCGGCAGCATGTAGACTTTAACGTAAGGGTCGGAGGTTCCGCCCATGTCCATCGCTGGGAGGTCCTGAGCCTGAAGGATGCCCACGATCAACTGGAGAAGAATCCAAGAGCAGAAGATCAGTTCAAGTCACAAACCGCAGCTGTGTTTCCATTACAAATGTAAGCAGAAACTACGCAAAGTCTATTTTCTGCTAATGTAAAAAAAAAAACACAATTTCGCAATTGCTTTAATTCTATTAAATGAAAAATGAAATAAAAATCACGTGAATTATTTTGTTCACACAAGTCAGTAAAAATTATGGCAGTGACAGATGTCAACAGTTGCATGAGATGCTAGCGCTTGTCAGCCAATCAGAGGAGACATCAGGGTCTTATTGAGACATTGGGATTGGCTGCGTATCCAGTGTTTTGGGAAAATTATAGTCAGTGATTTTACAGACGAGTTATGGATTCAACACGTTGGAATGACACACAGCTTTTTACGAACTGTGATGCTGTGAGAGCTCTGGTGTCCAAAAAACAAAAAAACAATAACAAACCATCATCCTCCTACCACTTCCTGTCATCTTCTTTGTAGTTTCAGCCAGTAGTAACATCCTGTTGTTGATCAGGTGACTCGTGCGATGTGAAAGAAGTGTTTCCATTTGCAGTTTTGTGAAACACATCTTTTTGGCCAAAAAGCCACTCCCTCCTAGCTTTTTCACAACTGGAATATTTCTATTAAATGAAGTGATTTCAAAATACACAGTTTTATGGTTAATGCTGCATGTGTAACAGGTACATTTTTCTTACCCTCTTAAACAATGTGTCATTGAAAATAAGGAGGTGGTAAAATATTAATGGTCTTTCTTCACGTGTAGGTGAAATGATGCCTAGCTCATCAATTTATTTATTTATTTATTTACTTATCTATTGCCAGAAAACCCAAAGAAGGCATCAGGCACCAAAGCCTGTTTGTGTTCAGAACTTAATAAATTTTGTACCAAACGAAAGTACAAGTTCAAAGAATCTGAAGTCTTTAAAGGTTCTCAATTGTTGTTAGTGCATTCATGGACTTTCATTTTGACAAGAGCTGTATTTAGAACGGGAAACAAATAGGAAAAGCATATTGGGAGATTTCTTAGTTTCTCCAAAGCTCCCACATTGTTTGAAGCTTAGGTCTAGTGTAGCTCTGTCTTGAGATTGAGTGCTCCCCTGTGTATCCTGAGTCACTCTGACCTAAATCATCTGATTTGGTCTTGACAAATCACCAGTCAGTTAGAAACTCAAAAATCTTATGTTTGGTCAGTAGGTGAACCTGTCCAAACATAAAAACCACGAGAGAACCATTGTTTTTTAAGAGCTGACAGTCGTGCTCTGGGTAAATTTGCACCTTTACCAATTGGTTCCTTTGAGAAGAAAACAGTCTCATACGTCTTACTGTCTGAATATAAGTCAGTAAGACGTAAATTTCGGTTCCCAGTCCAGGCATCTACCAAGCCTCACTCATGTATGTCAAAGCTTTAAAACATGAAGGCTGTAAAATCATATTGCGTGTGAGGACTGCGCACCTGATTATCGGTGAAGTTATAATCCAGCGAGTACTCCAGCTTGCCGAAAAACTCCTTCTCCTCTTCCTTCTCTTCCTCTCCATCCTGAAAAATATGACAGGGCAGCAAACTGTCAACGTATGGGGTTCCACTTGTGTCAAAAATAAATAGAAGTCATATGTGTAGATGCTGTCAGTCTATGTCATTGTTATGTGTCTTTGCTTGACGTCTATGGTCTTAGTGCTTTGTGGATATGTCGATGTCGCATGTAGATGTTGCATATGTAGGTGATTCATATGTTAGATATTGCACATGTCTATGTTGCACATGTCTATGTTACACCTGTCTATGTTCCACATGTCTATGTTGCACATGCGTTCACTGCATATATAGCTGTTTCATGTTTTATGTCTCGTAATGGTTGCTACTCACTGTCATCTTGTCAATTCATCTACATCGCAGATGTGTTTTGATGCTGCTGCCCCCTGTTGTTGGTTCAAGTAGTTTATCTGAATGTCTTTAATGTCTGTGATTGGTCAATGTCATTGGTCAGTGTTGCTGTTGCCTGTTCTCTTCACCATCAATAAGTGTTAAAGTAGGTCAAGTCTGATCAAAGAGTTTCTTCCAGTTTTCCAGACAAAACACACAAATTACTAAAGTTTTTTTTATTTTGTATTGTTGTAACCATTAAACGATCTCCCTATCTGTTCAACCTTATAAATAGAGACACATTGTTGATGTTACTATTATAAAATAACTTGCAATTAAGTATTGGCAAAGATCAATGTAGTTTTCACATGAGGCGGAGCGTTGTTGTTGTTAGCAGCTGCTGAAAGTCACTAAAAAAGTTACTTTTAATGTAAATTAGTTACTTTCCAAATCAAATAATCAGTGATCTAACTCAGTTACTTTTTCAAGGAGTGATCCGATTAAAGTTACTTTTTCAAAGTAACTATGCCATCCGTGTCCAAGAGGTCATAAGAACTGCAGCACAGCATCCAGAGAACTCCCGTTCTGGTTTGCTTCACAAAGTACCGCCGGGCTGAACTCCAAGAAGAAAACCAACGCTGAGTGAAAGGAACATAAAGACTGATCTCGGTTTTGCCACAAAATAATTTGATTATGCGAAAGATTTCTGGGAATTTATTCTGTAATCTGGTGAGACTTGTTTTTAGATGGGTTGTGTCTCATTATATCTTATCTGGTATTTTAAAAAATGGCATTTTAGAAAAGGAACAACATGCCAAGAGTAAAATGTGCTGGTGGTGTGAAAGGCTACGGCTGTTTTCAGAGCCCTGGGACCCAGAAGACTTAACATCGTGAATGAAACCATGAATTCTGCTGCCTGTCAAAACATCCTGAGGGAGAATAACTATCACCAATCTTTCAATGGCTTAAGAAAAACCAAATCAAGACTTTGCAGAGGCCGATTAAATCTCCTGATCTGAGATGCCGTGGTATGAAAATAAAAAAGGGGGTTCTGAGCTTGAAAACCCTCCAAAGTGACTGACTGATGAGGTTTCTGCAAAAATGAGTGGGTCAGAAATCAGAATCATTCAATCTGGCAAACAAACGTCAAATATTTGGGCCATCGGACAGCAGATGTATTTTCTCATGGGTATAAAAGCCACCAGAGAACCATTATTTTTTAAATCTGAATTTTTATCAAAGTCCAAATTCAACTACAATGAATTTGGACAAGATTCAACAGATCAACTGCAGGATATAAAATTATTTCAATCAAGTGCTGTGTTGCAGGCCTTCTGCACAAGTCTTGGCTAGAAGGTACAATTTCAGAGTGTGTGTGTGCATAATGTCACAGAGCAAATGCTTTTTATTTGTAAAATAAATAGAATAGAATACTTATTTGATTGCATACATTCATATATTTTGTCCCTTTTTTTTCTGCTTATGGTTTTTTTTTTTTTTCTGAATTGTTCAGCAACACAAATCCGTAGAAGAAATCCGTTCTTCTCACCTTTTTCTCGTCTCCATCTTCTCCATCCTTATCCTTCTTTCTGCGGCCCCGCCCGCCTCCCCCCTTCCTCTCTCGAGCCTTCTTTTGCTTCTTGCCCTTGTTGAAACACTTCTTGTAGATGCAGAATCCGAGGCAGGCGACGAGGGCGAGGACCACAACCACGATGGCCCCCACGGCCCACATGGGCACTGGACAGAGGAGAGAAACGGTCAGGAGCAAAACGCACTAAGAGTCACCACTAGTGTAGATGTACACTTGTTTTTGGTTTTTTTTCCGCCAGCCGTACAATTAATTCCATTGGTACTGGAAATTTACATTTTCTAACTGTTATACAAGAATATCACATGAAGTCTGAATTCCAGCTGTGAGCCAGACTTATAGTTTATATTTTACGATAGTTCAGTTGCTTTTTTTTTATTAACCCAGACTAATAAGTGTTTTCAGAAATAACATGAAATAAATCATCTCTGAAATACCCAAATGTTATACATGATTGAATGTAATTTTTTTATTGGAATGTTGCCTCTTTAATGACTGTCACCCTGTGACATTGACATGTATCGTTATGAAGCATTTTGGACGCCCATCATGGTCATGTGACACATTAAATCTGCTCTTCCTTCCACTTTAGATCATTTCCAGTTTGTTTCCTCCACCAGCTTGAATGCTTTGCATGTAAGCTGATGTGTTTTTAAAATTGTACATTGTACCTGATTTGTGGGATTATTTCTGACACTATTGCTGTGTTTTCTATGGATTATGGAAAACTTCTTTTTATAATGGTTTGCTCTTATTTATTGCCAGGTGATATTTTCAAGGTATTAGTTTCGCCGGCGAAGGGAAAGAAACTAAATTTCGATTCCTCATCTGTCCGGTACAGACCATGAGTTGACAATAAAGTCATGAGTAGACTTTGACTGACTACTACAAAACTTCCTGTGGAACTTGAGAAGAGTGAAGAAAATAACCCGTCAGAACCGGAGCTAGCCGGGTCTTTCTTCAACCTAACGTCGGACACATGTGATGGCGAGACACGAGATGGACTTACTCTTGAGTTTATGGTCTTGACGAGCGGGACACATTGTTCACACGAGGAGAAAATGAGGAAAGAGAATGAAAAAAATGACAAGTGAAAATGGCGAAAATCAGGAAAGATAACGATAAAGGACAACAGGATGGTGTTAAGATTAGCAACATGTTCTCCCTGAGCACTAAAGCGAGCGCATGGTGTTGTGCTCACTTGGCAGGTGTGTGAGCTCGTTGAAGAACTTGTTCTTCATGCTGGCGAACTGATGGTTGGAGTGGTGAGACGGGGGCGGAGGCGGCCGCGGCTCCCTCTCCTCTTCCCCCGCCGCCCTCCGAAGCCGCACGGCGCTCACGTTGACCGACGGCATCGCTGCTCTGAAAGGGCGAAGGATGGACACGACTTGTTAAGGTTACTAATGTGTCCTTTTTCTTTAACCTGCAACGACCCGGTTCAATGAAAAGACACCAAACGAGAGTCAGTAGCAGAACAGAGTGTTTGTCACTTGCAGAGAATGTATTTGTGAAATGAATCAAATTTGAGGCTGAGGAAAGAAAAAAAATAAAATAAAGTTAGTTTTGTATCCAACATCCAGTCTTATTTACTTCAAGCTGATTCTAAATGTACTTTGAGTTTGTGTCGTAGTTTGAAAAGTTGCAAAACTGATATTTAGTTTTTGTGAGTCTGTGAACGAAAGTAAAAGAAAATCTGCCAGTTTTTGGTAGTCGTGCCTGCAAGGAGGTCCAGCTGTCAGTCCTTATCCTTGTATATAAAAAGGGAGATTTAGACACACACACACACACACACACAACACACACACACACACACACACACACACACACACACACACACACACACACACACGGAGGCGGGGCCCACAGCAGACAGCCCTGAGTTGCTGCACTGCTGCATAACAAGATTAATTGTCAGAGGTAATCCAAAAATCCTCAGATTAAACAAATTAAGGACAGTTTGCGGCTCCCGCTTTGAGTTTCCTCCTCTGAACCCGCCCATCCTGTCACTATTTTCTTCACTCTTTCCTCTCTTGCTTGGGACCCATCAGGCCTCATACCTACCACATCCTGCTCACACACACACACACACACACACAAGCCACACACACACACACACACACACACAGAGGTAGAGAGAGAGAGAATGGCCAAACTCCCAGAACTAGACCTGATTTAGGTAGTGAGCTTTGTAACGTGGCCCAGATGGGATCTGCAGAGGATTACAGAGGCCGAGCTCCGTGTGGTGAATAACTGCTGTACATAAGGTGTTTATCGCTAAATGAATTTATCCAAATCCTCCATTGATATGGTTTTATTTTATCATCCTTTATTCTGCCGCATGGATCCTTGGTTGTTTCTGAGTGGAGCATTCTGGGACAGAAAGCCTCGAAAAAGAACAGGATTAGTTTACGTTTTAATACAACCTTTAATATATAAATTATATCCGTCCATCCATCCATCCATCCACATTGATTTGTTCTAACATCATAATCCAAAGCTGTGTTACATCTGTGTAGTTATGGTAGGTATTAAATAGTAAGGATCCCAGGATGGAGCCTTGGGGAACCCCACATGTGATTTCCAATGTTACAGAAGAACATGTATGAAACACACAAAGGTGCCATCTATCTAGCCTTAGTAGATGAAGATTTCCCATCAAGTATCACATTTCACTTATAATTTTTATCGTGGACTGTGTCTGTTGCTTCTAGGCTCAGATCTCTCTGAACCACATGTTTACACTTTCTGCACCAGCAGCAAAGTGTAAACTTTGCTGCTGACATTACCACATTACCACAGCTGACTTGATGAATCAGTTTCACCAACAAGGGATTGATGTGTCACTCTCAGGCAATATGTGTTGAGATTTATAGGAGCAGTCAGTTTACCACACAATACAGTTACATCAAAAGTATAAAGTCTGAAATCCATCACCTGAAATACAGTTCTTTAAAGGGATTTAGGACAAATTTATATTTTATCACATTACAATTGCTGAATGCATATTGATTGGATTGTATAGGACAGATCAACGCAAAATAATATATGATATTGAAAATAATTAATGGTTTTTGTTGTCAACAAAAAAGAATTCATATTATTTATATAAGAAAAAATATGTTTAAGACAATTAAAGAAAGTCATGTGTAAACTTTTCCAGAAACTATGAGAATGGTCTCAAAATAACAATACTGTCTTTTATTGCAATCATTTCTGGGTCAATTGATCATCCAGTAAAACTCTTAGATCAGTATTGATTAATGATATTGATTGGTTACAGGCCTGAATCTACTGTTAAAAGTCAGAATCTGATGTTCAGAGATGCTCTTCAACCAATCTAGTGGCGTTTGAGCTACTTTGCAAAGAAGAATGGAAAGAAATTTAGATGTCCAAAGTTGCTAGAAACAAAGGTTTTAGTTCTGACCAAGGGGAAACAAACTTCATTTTTCATATTTTCAGGGTTTCATTTGTAGATACATTTGAAAACCACAGAACATTTCTGATGAATTTCATAAAGATTGTGTTAAAATATTTCAGTCTGTGATAGAAACATAGCAAAACATCATATGTGAATAAACTTGGCCGCGACATATGTAAAAAGCTTCATGAAATATATTCATAATTCAGCCAGAGTCATCTACCAGCTATCAAAGTATCTGGAATATTTCTTTTTTGTTGGTGCGATAATAAGCTGTTAACATTTTCACAAACGCATAAAAATGTAAATTTTCACACCTTTGTGGAAACGTTAAGACATAAGCAACGCCGTGCAGGCAGCGCGCAGACAACCTGTTTCCTATGTGCTAAAAGTCACATACATTTGAGCAGGATGGCTTTCCATAATTTCACAGAAGAGATGTGGATTCAACACGTTCACATAACATGCAACTTTTTACAAACTGTGATGCTGTGAGGACTCTGGTGAAGCGAGTTGCAACCAAAAAACAACAACAAAAAAACATCATCCTCCGACTACTTCCTGTTGTCTTCTTCGTCATTTCCGACAGTACTAACAGCCAGCTGTGTGACGCGAAGGAAGTGTTTTCATTCCAGTTTGGCGAAATACTCCTATTTTGACACGGCCAAAAAACCACCTCGTCCTAGTGCAAGTGTTTTTTTTTTTAATCAAAAAACTGGAAATTTTTAATCCATTAAGTAAATGTAGTTTTGTAACTTCAAATCAATTGTTTGGTTAATGGAAACCCAGGCACCAGCCAAATGTAAAGATCAAAGGGGCGTCCAGGACTCTACAAGGCCAGCTTTTACTGTATCTTATGAGTGACATAAGAAAGAAGCGTAACAATACGACCACATCAGAAGAAGCAAAGTCAGACAGTCATGTAAACATCTGTCCGTACCAAGCCGTCTCCAGCCTGCTGCAGGTGACTTCACGTGAACATGGACACCAACCAATGCAGCTTTAGCTTTCAATAAGCCACTTAAACTAATCTCTGCCACTTTTAGAACGCTGTCCATCATGTCAGATCAAATGTTACAATCGTCCATGAACTTTCTTGATGTACTATTCAAAGAATTTCAAGATGAAGCTAAACACTAGCACTGAGGAATCAGATCTAATTAACCCTGAAGTCATTCGCCTCTCACTCCATTTAGGCGGATTTAATAAAAATCAAAGAAATATCATAAAGCTTCTGGCAACAACGAAAAAAATCAGGAGGGACACAGTTCACCTAGAATGGTAATAGTTTGAAAATCATTAATCAAAAATAAAAAGGTGCAAACTGTTTTCATTCAGTGATAGTGATGGAACTTTAACAAACGCATAAAACATCTTGACTCACCCAATATGTCCTCAGTCCTTATATTCTTTTTGTTTTTTCTTCTTCTGTGTCATCCAAGCGTCATTCCCCACAAATCCACCAACACAGACTGACTGTCCAAGTCCAGCTCCCTCTCTCCCCCTCCTGTGTTAATCCTCAATATCCCTCAACACCACTTACTTCCTGTCCACTTACTCTCCCAAAACCATTGTGAGTTCAGCACAAACTGTTTTAGCTTTTTAAATGAAATATACTGTATGTATAGACCTTTAAATCTTTGCAGATTTCTTCTGTTTTTGCTTTTGCATACATCATTGAAAAAAAAGAACATTACAAAAATATGAAAAATGCAGTTTTCAAAATGACACGGCTTTAAAGAGGGAAAATCTTTCCAAGCCAACCTGAACACCAGTAATAGATTTTAATGTTGGATTTCACTATTGATAATTATCTGATCTACAAAACATGTCTGAAAACATTAAGAAAATGTGTTTAGTGTCCTGAAAATTACACCATTATGTGGTTTCATCAAATTAAATAAACTTAGGATAAGATTATTTGGAAAAAAGCCTTGCTACTCCAAATTAAAAATATGGAGTTAAATAAAAATGACCAGGAATTTTTAAGCATCTTCACAGTGAAGGGTTTTGTTTTAAATTCTAGAAATTTTGTTCATACATTTGTATTAAATCTCATGCTTTTGTCCTGACTAAAGCAGATACTTCAGGTGTAATGACAAGAAGCATTTTAAACTAAATTCACTGTAAGGTGCCAATAAGAAAAGGTTGGCCTTCAAGACCTTGTGTTAAAAGCAATCATTTCTGAGACATGTTGAATCAGGAAACATATTGGTTCCAAAACATTGTTCAACATTTTACTGCTTCACTTTTAACCAGGACATCCCTTTGAATTTACCTGTTTTGGAGCAACAAGGGCCTCAAATTATAAACCAGTCAGACCACAGAACTCCAGCTCAAAATGTTTATTCAGAGAATCGGAAGTTACACTTTGACCAACTACTTATTACACTTCTGGATAAAGACACTCAACTCTACAACTTGACAAACTGATTAACTCAATGAAATGCTTGATCAACTCTGGAGTAGACAAATTTAGCCTGAAGCCTTTGTTACACACACTTCTACTCCATGTTCCCTTCTGGGCATTTAGCTTTTGCCTCCCAGGGTGTGCTTGTCAAACAGGTACTCGCCATCTTGTTGTTGTGGGCGTACATGTGGGTCAGGTTGGTGATGTGGTCACCGAGCTTCTTGATGGCCTCCACCTGCTCGTTCAGGTAGTGGGACTCCAGGAAGTCGCACAGCTGAAACAGAATCCTTTATTAGATTCACACACATCAAGGGTCAATGAAGCAAAAATACTTAACTTACATGAGGATCAACATGATCAGAGGCCAGTTTGTGCAGATCCAGCAGAGCCTTGTTGACATTTTTCTCCAGCTGCAGAGCACACTGCATGGCTTCCAGCCCACTGCCCCACTCATCCTTCTCTGGTTTCTGTAAAATGGAAAACATTTATAGTTTCATTGTATTGCAGTACATTGATTTAAGTTGTATTTTAAACATCAAAATGGCTGTTGCGTGTCTCTTGTTAGCATTAGCTGTTGTTACCTTGACATCCTGGAGGAAGATGCGGCCTCCTCTTTTGTTCTGGAAGGACAGCAGCTTCTCGGCGTGCTCCCTCTCCTCCTCACTGTTCTCCTTGAAGAAGTGGGAGAAGCCCGGCAGGGCCACGTCGTCGCGGCAGAAGTAATAAGCCTGTTGAACGAGAAAGTAGTTCATGAAACACCTGGATTCCCATCATGTGGTGAAGCAGCAGCTTTGGTCAAGCCAAGTTGAGTAATGAGAGTCTGGTAAGAAGCTCAGCTGAGTTTCCTCCCAGAAAACACAGAATCATCCAGTATTTGGCTGGTAAATGTTGCATTCAGTATTTATATAAATGTTCCAATAACACACCATACACATCAACACTAAGTGTAACACTGACTAAAATTAAACACAGGCTATATTCTGGTCAGCTAACTTCACCTAGTGGGTCTCCATTCTTTTCATTGTGAAAGAGGAAACCTGAACCTCAGAGAGATGTAGCATTTTATTTGACGAGGTGGTTCATAGGTGAAGCGGCTACATAGTTGAAGGCAGACTAATGAAGCAAAGGCAGTGGAAATAGTTGTCTTACCATAGAGGTGTAGGTGTAGGAGGCAAACAGCTCCATGTTGACCATCCTGTTAATGGCGGCCTCGCAGTCGCTGTGGTAGTTCTGACGCACCTGGGATTCCATCTTGTTTGGCGTTTTCTTGTGTTTGTAACAAAACCCTGAGAGAAATAAAGCTTTACGTCGACTACTCTAGTAGTGTTTAATTAGCAGCAGGGTATAAATGGCTCTGGAGTCCGTTTGGGTCGGCAAAAAAAGAGGTTCTGTCCAAACACTGTTGAAGCAAGAACTGTCTAAGGCTTTGGTCCCCGTCCTGTGACGGAAGCCACGCTCCTCTGTATTTATACAGAGTCTCGTGACGGACGTCAAAGTCGCTGCAGGTTTCCGCCAATCAGCAATCAAGGATGAGATGAGAAAGAATCGCGGTGAACGATCATATTTCGTTCTCTCCTTTATTGGTTCATGGAAATGGTGAACCGTGGAGTTTCTCTATTTAACATGAAGCTACATTCGATGTCAATGTGTTTTCTAAGAATTATATGAAGAAATCAGCTAAATCAGCAATTCATTCATATTGTTAAAGTGAACTGTGTGCAATGACTTTATAACCTTTTTTGCTTCAACATAAACATTCAAAACATTTGGCCAAATTTTAAATTAATTAATCATTATCTTTAAAATATGTTTCAGTGTTCTCTGAGTTTTCTCTTTAAAAAGTGGCTTTCAACTATTAGCAGCACTGGATTTCTGTCATGGTCATCAAAGTGAAGGAAGCTGTTAAAAATCTACACCAACATTATTGATTTTTGATAAAAACAAAGAAATGTGTGCAAGAAACCAATGTGCCATTTTCCTTCCACTCCATAATTTTGCATTGCTTTGTTTTGGTTTATCATTTAAAAACTCAATGAAATTCATTAAAGTTTGTGGTAAAATAATATTAATATTCATAAACTGAGGCTAAATTACACCCTACAGCCTGACTGTTATCCATCCACATTGATTTGCTGTGTATCATCTTCATAGTTATGGTAGATATTAAATAGGAAGGGTTTCTGGATTTAATCTTTTTGTACCTCTTATGTGATTTCCAATAAAAAGTTTCATATTGAAAGAAGAAAAAATCCCTGTTACTTTAGTATGATTAAAACCAACAGAGAATTGGACCAGAGAGTCCAACCAGCTTATTGAACTATTGCATTTTATGGCATATTTACAGATACATATGTATTCCTGGTGGTTTTCATAAAAAGGAATTCATCTTTTTAAACAATTACCTTCTTTTTCATGAACCTCTATCTCTCTCCATACCGAACAGGCCCCCAACCCGACACAACTGTCAGATGAACTCGGCCCCCTGGGGCAGAACAGGGCAGATCTTAATTAAAGTTTTCACCCCTCTGATAAGAGGTAGAGGCAGAATTATCCAACTTCATGCTAAAAATAGGATCAACAATGATATGAACTCCACAGATAATGTCTCAATTTCTGGAAGATTACATGACAATTTTAGAAAAAATATATTGTAATGTTTGATCTTCAAAGATTTTATTCTAAATTAAGATTAATCAACAATAATTTTATGATAAAAAGTATCCGTTTTTTAAATGATCATTTAGTCAAGTGAAGAAAAAATACATGGTTAGATGTCATCTGCTTAAAAATGTATTTGAGAACTCATTTTATTTTAACATCTAATTGATTTTACCTTTAAGTTGCACAACTGATGAAATGAAGTCTTCAAAATGTCATGCAGATTGATTCCACTAGATGGCGATCTGCAACAACAAAACTCCAAAGCAACGCAGAAACAATGTAACCAAAAACTTTTTTTTTAAAAGAAATTCATAAAAACCATGCAGAAAGTGATAATCAAATAGTGTTCATGTTATGTAAACACTTGGTAAAGCAGATATATTGTACATGCTTAATGCTTTTCATAATTTTGTTTTTATTGGAATTGCTTAAAATTCCAAGATGTTTCTCACATTTGACAATAGCTAAATGTTTTCCTTTAAAGTACTTCAGCTCAGGTTTGTGTGTTAAATCTCTTGCTTCTCATTGGACCAGATCTTAAGGAAAAAAAGCAGGTGGTTTTTAAGATTCATTAAACTGTTTAGGTGCCATTTCATTTCCCTTTAGATGTTCTGTTAGTTCTTTTGGAAACTTGTTGGTTCCAAAACATTGTTCAACATTTTACTGCTTCACTTTTAACCAGGACATCCCTTTGAATTTACCTGTTTTGGAGCCACAAGGGCCTCAAATTATAAACCAGTCAGACCACAGAACTCCAGCTCAAAATGTTTATTCAGTGAATCAGAAGTTACACTTTGACCAACTACTTATTACACTTCTGGATAAAGACATTCAACTCTACAACTTCACAAACCGAATAACTCAATGAAATGCTTCATAAACTCTGGAGCAGACAAATTTAGCCTGAAGCCTTTGTTACACACACTTCTACTCCATGTTCCCTTCTGGGCATTTAGCTTTTGCCTCCCAGGGTGTGCTTGTCAAACAGGTACTCCGCCATCTTGTTGTTGTGGGCGTCCATGCGGGTCAGGTTGGTGATGTGGTCACCGAGCTTCTTGATGGCCTCCACCTGCTCGTTCAGGTAGTGGGACTCCAGGAAGTCGCACAGCTGAAACAGAATAGTGTGTTAGATTCACACACATCAAGGGTCAATGAAGCAAAAATATGACTTAACTTACATGAGGATCAACATGATCAGAGGCCAGTTTGTGCAGATCCAGCAGAGCCTTGTTGACATTTTTCTCCAGCTGCAGAGCACACTGCATGGCTTCCAGTCCACTGCCCCACACATCCTTCTGTGGTTTCTGTAAAATGGAAAACATTTATAGTTTTATTGTATTGCAGTACATTAGATTTAAGTTGCATTTTAAACATCAAAATGCCTGCTGCGTGTCTCTTGTTAGCATTAGCTGTTGTTA